AGTTGGCTACTTCTCTTGTTTAAACAAGCACACTGACAAGATAAATGACTACGGTCTAATCTTAACACTAAAAATCTGTATTGATAATATGATGCGTTTAGAAAAGCAGCAGAAAACACAGCAGCTAAATGACCATTGATGAAACTCAAGAACAATAATACTGCAGACGTGTAACGTTACTTCAAAACAAAAACAAAGAAGGACAAAGGTACCGCTAAACCATGACCACCATGTGTTTTAAGAAAGTAAAGTACTTTATTTTTATTAACGATATTTACAGCTTATCGAAATGCTCTGTTCGTCGTCTCCAAAGATAGAAGGAATTGACCCCTCATTCACACGAAGTCGTTTGGCAAACCCTTCTTTATACTGGCGGATGTTGTTGAAGTTGGAATCCTTGAAGTGCTCCGGGTCACTACATCCAACAACCGAACATTTTGACTTCCCCTCTTGTAACTTTGAGCTTGGACTACAAAATCGGAGCGAAAAATAAAAATGGCGGATTGCTCGAAGTGTTGGGCTGGTAGTCAATGTCCTTATTTGGCAGTTCTGCTGCAAATACGGTGACGTTATAGTTCAAAATATGTCATAGAAAACAGAAAAATCTGAACAGGTTGAAAAATATGACCAAAAGAGAATATAAAGTTATAAACGAAGCACCTGAAGAGAATAATTTCATTTTTTCTTTAGAAACACTCCAAATATACAACAAAATGCATTTAAGGGCTAAAAAAGTGGATTAAGCATGATATGTCCCCTTCAAGGCCATGACTGTGCCTTGATGGTGCAAAAGAGACACTTGGACAATTATTTTGACATACACACACACACACACACCCCAACATGTTCGAATAGTTTATGGTTTTGGAATGCTCATTCAAATTCCCCAAAATAGTCCAAAACATGCAGCCTGAACACTTTGCTGAAGCTTTACAGTATGAGTCAATGTTCTGTGAAATTCTTGTGCCACATTTGACTTGTGGAAACCTTTTAATACATTTGTATGCCAGACGCTGTTTCATAAGACACCCAATGACGTGAAGCTATGAGTTGGTACATTTTAGTAGCCTATAGTAAAACTGGTAGGCTATAAAACAGCTAATTATCCTTTAGCGTCATATAGGATGCTATATGACAAAACGGCGAAATACTACGCACATGGCAACCTTTGTGTAAAATAAGTGTTTGATTTCAGAAATTGCGTCTCATTTTGTAATAAAAGAAAAAAAGCAGGTGGCCAATATAATCAATGCAATAAAAGTTAAATTACCATTAAAAAGGTAGCACTTTATTTTACAGTGTTCCTACACACACCTACTTATTAAAGTAACACACACTTATCAGAAAACCCTAACTTAATTATTACTCCATACTTAACTGTATAATTACACTGTAAATAAACCAGTAATAACACTTTATTACACATAAGGTCCCATTAGCTCATGTTAATCAACACATCAACTAACTTAAACTATCAATGAGCAGCACATTTGTATTGAATATTAAACTGCAATTGTCCATTGTTAATTCATGTTAGCTCATTAAATAATATAAACAGATACAACATAATAAATGTCAATAACTCTTAGAAGCTGCAAGTAAAATAAACAGTAACATGCAGGCCTTGTGGTCCATTGCTCCTTACAATGTCATTGACTAAGTTTAGCCTTGAGTCTTTCCGGCTGATGTGAGACACAGGACTGGTATTTTTCTGTACTTAAAAGAGACACAAGTGTGTCAGTATAGTTTATGTTTAAGCTATTTCCCCATCCTGTCAGCCACAGATATCCGATAGCATCTCTGCGTTCCCGCCCATTCGCTCTGGATCTGGCATTGTTTGGCTTTTACGGTTGCAGTCATCTAAGAAGTGTTTGTTTTGTTTTTGACATAGGCTATACACCCACATCCATGATAGCTAATCCATCTTTCTATTTCTCACTGAGTTTGCTGGGAAATGTCTGCGTCATCCAATAAGATCTTGCTTTTGTGCAAATGACCTAAAATTATTCACACCTTATAAATGATTGAGTAGGCTACATGTAATATACCTCATGGTTTGAATAAACCTTTTGGACATGTTTTGGTATGAACAAACGCTGATTATTGAATTCTGAAAGAGAAATGGGTTGCACTTTATTTTACAATATGCACTTTCAAAGCTACTTACCAAGAAAGTTCCATGTAATATACATGGGTTAAGATTAGGTTTTACAACTCAGTTATTGTACTTACTATAATATAAGAATATGAACATGCGAAACCCGACTGTAAAATAAAGAGCTGCGGAAAAACGCTATCCAATAAATCTTTATATAATGAGAAGGTCCAATGGACTCAGTTATCAGTTCTGAGAATGTGAAATGCACAAAATCACCAAACATGGAATGCTTACCACACTTCCTGCCATCAAAAGACCTCCAATCATGGAGGGAAGCTAGATTAAAAGGATTAGACAAAAAAATACAATATCCACAAAACTGTCCTTCTTTACACACTAACTTTAAATCCCTGATGAGCGAAGGAAGGTAATTTCTCTAGTGATTGTGGGTTGGTTACAGTTTCAAACATGTTTTGCTTAGTGGCTCAATTGCGCCCTCGTCTGGTATGCGTTTGCAATAGGCTAAGACACACTAGCATTAATACAGAATATGCTCACACTTTAGATAGGGTCCAATTCTCACTATTAACCACGACTTTTGCCTCAAACTCCTAACTACCGCTTATAAATAGTTAGTTAGTTAGTTAGTTAAGTTGAGGTACTGAGTGGATTAAGGGATGTAGAATACGGTCATGCAGAATAAGCCATTAATATGTGCTTTATAAGTACTAATAAACAAACAATATCATAGATATATTCATGCTAATAAGCAACGAGTTAATCACAAGAGTTGGACCCTTAACTAAAGTGTATATTCTTTTCATTTTCAGGAGGTCAAACTAAATATTTTACTAGTGGTTTTACTATTCTTTTTTACTTCATAATTTTACATTTATTTTATAAGGTTTGTCTAAATAATGTTTAAAACCCTAATTGTGTGATTTTTATGTTTTAGCAATAAACATTGAATAAACAAAATGTATGCAAAAAAAAGGTTAAACCTAAATTAAACTCAGAAGAGCCTAGTTTGAGACTGACCAAATATGTTGTGTTCATAATATTATTATACTTGATAAACCTATTCATCTGAGAGATTTTTTTTACAGAAAAAAATTTAATTAGATTATTTACAGTGGGGCCAAAAAGTATTTAGTCAGCCACTGAGTGTGTAAGTTCTCCTACTTAGAATGATGAGAGAGGTCTGTAATTTTCATCAATAAATGCAAAATAAGTATTTGGTCAATAACAAAAGTTTAATTCCTCCATGCAGATCTCCTCTAGAGCAGTGATGTTTCGGGGCTGTCACTGGGCAACATGGACTTTCAACTCCCTCCACAAATTTTCAATGGGGTTGAGGTCTGGAGACTGGCTATAGGCCACTCCAGAACCTTGAAATGCTTTTTACGGAGCCACTCCTTCATTGCCCGGGCGTTGTTTTTGGGATCATTGTCATGCTGGAAGATCCAGCCACGTTTCATCTTCAAGGCTCTCACTGATGGAAGGAGGTTTTAAAATCTCACGATACATGGCCCCGTTCATTCTTCCCTCAACACGAATCAGTGTTCCTGTCCCCTTTGCAGAAAAACAGCCCCAAAGCATGATGTTTCCTCCCCCATGCTTCACAGTAGGTATGGTGTTCTTGGGACACAACTCTGCATTCTTCTTCCTCCAAACACATGATATTCTCCCAATCCTCTTCTGGATCATCCATATGCTCTCTGGCAAACTTCAGACAGGCCTGGACATGTACTTGCTTCAGCAGGGGGATACACCTGACCTGGCACTGCAGGATTAGAGTCCCTTTCGGTGTAGTGTGTTACTCATGGTAGCCTTTGTTACTTTGGTCCCAGCTTTCAGGTCATTCATCAGGTCCCTCTGTGTAGCTCTGGGATTTTTGCTCACCGTTCTCATGATCATTTTGACCCCACGGGATGAGATCTTGCGTGGAGCCCCAGATCGAGGGAGATTATCAATGGTCTTCCATTTTCTTACAATTGCTCCAGCAGTTGATTTTTTCACACCAAGCTGCTTGCCTATTGTAGATTCACTCTTTCCCAGCCTGGTGCAGGTCTACGATTTTCTTCCTGGTGTCCTTCGACAGCTCTTTGGTCTGTGGTTGAGTTTGGAGTGTGACTGTTTGAGGCTGTGGACATGTGTCTTTTATACAGATAATGGGTTCAAACAGGTACCAATAATACAGGTAACCAGTGGAGGACAGAAGAGCTTCTTAAAGAAGAAGTTACAGGTCTGTGAAAGCAAGAAATCTTGCTGGTTTGTGGGTGACCAAATATCTATTTTCCACCTTGCACAATCAGTGGCTGGCTAAATACTTTTTGGCCCCACTGTAATTGTCAGTAGAAAGGGTTCATAGGGTCTTGGATTCCTTCTACAAATTATGACTACAATGAAATAAATGTTAAACCAGATTATGTCATTTTTATGATACTGTATGATTACCAGGTACAGACCAATGGGATTGTTCGATTCCATATTTTTTAGGAATAGACTCAATTCCCAATGCCTTGGAATCGACACCCAGTCCTACAGAACAAACGACCATTTCGAATTTTGCCAAAACACTGGATACAATGTTGCTGCTTTGCATGCCAATTTATTTTTTTTTTTTTTTTTTTCCATAATAGCTCTCACTACAATTTTCCCTATTAATAGAAAGCAGCACACGTTTTACACAATTAGAAAAAGAGTTCAGGTGGTTATAATCGTGTTCCCATCACATCCACTTTAACCATTCACTAGCGGTTTGTTTTGCTCTCGGACTGTTTACAATTCCCAACGCTGATAAGACGCACGCAAAGGAATGTTAGACTCCGTCCAATTAAATCAGGGCGTTGTTGATCATCCTGCTGAGTTATGAATCAAAAATGACGAGTGCACAACTTGCTGAGAGTTTCGAGCACATTTAATGATTTTCATTCAAGAGCAGATTCACATGAATCCGTCTCTGGTCAACACTTCCATGGCACTTCTATCTTTCAGTCACAAAAAGTCATGTTTTCCTCTCTCTCATACAACACAAATACTTGTACAGAGACTGCAGTCTAAACCAGCTGAGGAGATCTTTAGGAGATCTTACACCATCTGCTGTGAAACACAACTGGGAAACAGTCACAAAATGACCCAACTAACCAATAACAACATACATAGCAGTTGCATTTAAGACACGTTTTTAGAGTCCTTGGACGAGGACTTGACAATCTCCCTTTGAAACAATCTTCAATTAAAAATCCACTCGTTCACATGAGCACCGATGTACTTAATCTTAAAAGAGAAACTGACGGAATAAAAAATAAAACACTGATCTATTCCACTGGTATGTAACTGCAAGTAAAGGAATGCACATCTCATTAAAAAATACACAGCATTAAAAATCGAAATAAATTCACAAAGATCACATTTGAAGTGTTAAACCGTTAATATCTTCTATACATATGTTAGGTAAGATATATCAATAATATTCCCTTTTGGAATACTAAAAACCTAACAGTCAGATTTAAGTCGTGAAAGCTGCGACAAACATCCATAGTGGAGCAGTTTGGCATCGCTTCCCTGTGAAGATATGGAAACATAAGCAAAAGCTCTCGTATGTTTGGGAGGCAGTCACTGTTTTTGCGGTAAAAATCGACAGTCAATTCTTGGATGAATCAAGCACCACGAGTATGGTGAGCTTGTATGGTATATACTCACATAGTAAACTATACTTAGTTGTCAATTTCTATTTATTTTAAAGCAAATCCACGGCAGCAAATCAGCTGCCTCCGTCCTCTGCTCAAAGACAAAACAGAACGAACGGGGACTTGCAAAAGCTAAAACTACCAAAGCTACCAAAACATGTGTGACGTCCTCTTTGGCACATTCTGTCACTGGCTAAATTTAAACAGTTCTTAAAATCCTTTTCTTGCTTTTGTGTTTCTGAAAACGCCATTCAGATTGGTACAGGTAAAAACTTCTTAAGAAAAAAAGCGTCATACATAGGCATTTAGCACTTTATGCTCAGAAATAAAACTAAACATATATATATATATTTATAAGAGTTTAAATACACGAACGCTCCCTAATTCGTTGCAGACAAAAGTGCATCGTCTTTTTACTCTTGTAAAACATTCAATGTAGTGTAGCCAAATAGTTCAGTTCATTCGACATTCAAAAGAGCCATCAATTTAGGTTCTTTTGAAAACTGGGGGGGGGGTTATCGTATCTTAACTTTTATAAGACTAAAATACTTCAGCCCATCAACTTGTTTCAAGGCAATTTCTCAAAAAGCGTCATTACCATTTAAAAAGCTTTTAGGCAGCGGAGTCAACTGTTTCATTTGGAGTTTCCATTGTGTCAAGCACAGAAATAACAAGAAAGCTGCTGTTGAATGTGAAAATGGAGCGATCTAGGATCAAAATCTTCAAAGCATTATGCAAAGCAATGCATAAACTTGTGCAAACGTGCTACAAAATAATGTGCCTTATGAAAGAGCAATGAAGGCATAAATACGTATGTTCGAAAACAACTGGAAGGCATGACGTACTTTTTCATGCTTATCGAGTACAAATGTTGGACGTGCTAAAACAATGCATTTAACTAAGTGTGCTTAGCTTATTTAAATATTTAGCAGCAAATGGTTCCAGACAAGTTTGATCATCTCTAAGTTGCAAGATTCGACTGAGAATATAAACATCAAGATTGCAGAGGGATAATGAAAAGGATCCAAGGGAACAGAAAAGGAAAAGCATGTCTCGTTTTGACATGAACACATCTATCTCTTTTTATAACTGCATGGCAGTGCAAGCTTGTACTTGATTATCACAGTTAAAACAGCTTCAAACTGTGAATTTGCAAATGCTAGAAACAGAAAAGGGCCAAGGCCTTTTGTCTAAGTGCTTTATAGTTTTATCTCTGTGCCTTTTTGATTGTAATTCTGATTTGTCGACGATTTTAACAATACATTAGGTAAGCTAAACGGTTTTGCTGTAGTCTTAAGAGTTCCTCTTGAACAATACATTTTAGGCATTGGGCATAAGGGCCTTACAAAACTGAACTCACCACATACTCTTTCTCCTTTCCAAAGCATAAATGCATGAAAAGGTGCATTGTACTGTGATATCTTTTTTTTTCATAAATAATGATCAATCCTTTCGAGGCAAAAGGGAGATGAGAACTGTCATGGCAACACACCTACCTCGCGCCTGAATCATAACAGATGCTTGTGATGTAGGTCAGGGTAAGAAGGTCGCTAGCTGAGAATTTTCGAAAAAAAAAAAAAAATCTCTCCCTTTGATCAGAGATAGAAATATTCAAAGAAACCAAAAATAACAGATTAGGGATATAACTGGTGAAGATGATGGCATCCCATACATACGTGGGAGGGACACATGGTCTAATTTGCAGGCGAAGGAATCGGCTCTACTGTGGCCGGACGCCCAACGGAGACTTGGTTGAGAGTGGGTGTAGGTGTGGAGGCTGAAGTGGGCATTGGGGAGGGCGTGGACGGGGTCGCGGCAGGAGCTGTGGTTGTGGTGAAAGAGGAGGTAGCAGCTGAGACAATGGGGTTTGGAGCAGGAGTGCCACTTTGGACAGGAGTGTTGTTTGTGGGTGATGCAGTCTTGTTGTAGTTAAGATTGAGGATGTGCTGCTGCAGGTGCCTGATCCAGTCCTCCTGTACCGAGAGAGGGCCGTGAAACTCCATGTCACAGAACCTAAAAGAAATGAATTACAAAAAAAAAGATAAGGTTCTGAGGGCTTACACTAGCCTGACTTCGTCATACTCAAATTCTGGTCAGAATTTGAGTCTGAAACTCCTCCATAGGGCTTTGATTATGAGGGGTGTCTTAACCTAACCAGGAAAAAAAATCAACAACTCTACACTCAATTGAATAGTCGGTAGACCTACAACCACAAAGTCAACTACTTTGCATATCACAGTTGTCAACAGAACTTACTTTTTTTATAAGTAAAATAACAAGTGTTGCTTCTTTTACTTGGTCTTCCATGAGTCCCACCAAAGGAAAAACCACAACGACCACAGGCTTTTCATTACGTCCCATCTTCTTAGCGACCGTCAGAGCCAGCTGATAAGTTACACTTTTGCCGAATCATGTAGGAAGGACGGCAAAAATATCTTTCCGATCGACAAATGCCATGATTTTTCTGTTTGTCTATTAAAATTAATGCGCTGTCGATTTATTTTACAACAGACGCGATAGTGGAATCTATCCATCTCAATTCTCCAGCTCCAGTCATCTCTGAGGGAAACCAGTGAAGCGCTCTTTGATAACGTGATGATTGCGTCCCATCATCGTATAAAGCCCGCCCTGGCAATTTGATTGGCCCGATCATTTTTTGACTGATCATAATTACCCCTCAATGGATCGAGTCCAGCCCGAACTTCCCGACCAAAAAATGTTGTGGGCGGAGTTCGGGCTGGCATCCAGGCTAGGCTTACACATTTGTAAAAAGAAATGTCTAAGCTATTTTAAAAATATCATCAACACACCAAGGCTTCATCTACAATAAGGACATAAATGTGATCTTAAATGAACTACATTGACTACGAATGAACTGACTACTAGGGCTGGGAATCGATTTCGAATCGAATTACAAGTTGGAAAAGATCCGTTCATTCGAGGGGAATCGACTCCTCATTTATAACCTTTTTCATTTCAACAAAGCGTATCATTAATTCGCCTCTTGCTTGATAATAGTAAAATCAATCAGAGCTATAGACATTTATTTTTTATATTATAAATAAACAAGAATCAAAAAAGAATAGAAAACAACAGTGAAAACAACAATCGATTCCAGAACCAGTAATCGGACTCGCCGTTCTGACTACCAAGATATTAAGGCATTTTAAGGGTTAATAGACATGCTCACAACACAAAGATCTCACGAAAAGATTTAGACCAAAGCTATGTTTCTATCTAGATTATTCTACAAGAGTCACTTACTAGTTTCCATTTCAGTTAGCTAGTTATGTAGGCTGTAGATATCCAGGCAGCTCTCTAGATTATGGACAAGTCTTAATATGCAAGTTCAACTCACCGGCACTTGAGTGAGTAAATTTTACCCACAAGTCTAACCAGTGGGGTGGAGGGGGGCTTTGGCACAAGGGCAGGAATGGTACTGGAGCGAGGCTTTGGGGGGCCACTTTCTCCCTCCCCTCCTTCAACATGTGACGGGTGTTTAAGTGGCCGTCTCTCAAATCCTTAAGAGAATGAAATCGGCAGGTTACAATTTTGCAAATACATAGGGAAAAATTAAGACGAAGAGATTAAGGTAAAGTTTTGCTCAGACCTCGTGGCAAACGCACGTTGAGTTCACTATGGGCCACCTGTGCATGTGGAAGAGCATTACTGGAATGATGGCTGCCAGGCTGTGGAATAAGGCCATGCTGAGTGGAACTTCCACTCCTGCTTTTAGCGTCTGTTCCCCGCGATGACAACCCCCATGAACAACTGTTGGCATCACGTTCAATTGCCCTCTTTTGAGGCAAAGTGAGAGATGCCCATTTGGACACAGCAGGCTTTTGGGAAACAGGATTTGTAGGGACAGAGTTACAGGATGGTGAGAGAGTGGAACTGCACCTCTGCAAAAGAATACAGAAATTTTAATTGATCCAATCTTTTCATGTTTTCACAGCTAGATACCACAGAATTGCAATTACTTGGGAGTAGTTGCTTTCATACTTTCTTTTGGGTATAGCGGGCTCCTTGCACATAACTTTGCTGCATCTCTGCTGCCTTCTGTGGACGGCTGCGTATCCAGGCACTCAGCGTCTCGATAGGCGAACCATTTACACACCACTCTGTCACGCCAAACTGCCGTAAATGTGCCCGAGCATGACTGGCCAATGCCTTCCGGTTCTCAAAGTAGAATCCACAGAGTTCACAACTAGCATCTGAAGAGGAAAAAAGATGAAGCCACATTGGTTTGTTTTTTAAGAATATTCAGGATATAAGTAAATAAGGATATTCAAAAAGGGAAAAAAATGCTAAACAAGCAAACAATTAGTATTTCACAATAACACCAGCAGAGCCAGACAGTAACAGAGTACATTTACTTGAGTACATTTTACTTGAATATCATTTTTGGTGAGTACTCATGACTTTACTCAAGTACATTTGAGAGGCAAATATTGTACTCTTTACTCCACTACATTTCCATCCATAACCGTGAGTACCCGTTATTACTTCTAAAAAAAAAAAAAAGGGAAAAAAGAAAAATCTCGGAAACCCTCAATTTGTTGTTTCCCTCTCAAACGTGATTGGATTGTTTAGGCGCCACTGATTGGGTCAGCCTATCAGCAATCACCTTCAGCTTTCCTGCCACAGTCAACTCCATGGTCGGATTTAGATAAGAGACGAAACCATGGACAAAACAATGGATGGAGACACAGCAGGTCCATCCCGTGAATGTGCCGACCCGTCGCCCCACCTCGCCACACTATTTCTGAAATTTTCTTAAATGTTAAATAAAGCAACATGGTAAAAAAAAATGAAAATGACTTGATTTTACTTTCAATTCCTTTTACATTCTCCAAGGTATTAACATAAACATCTTTCATAACTCCATGTAGGACGTTTCTGTCCATAAATGTAAGCACTGTGGCAATAGTAATGCAATATTTAGAAAATGTACTCTTGTACTCTTGATACTCAAATACTTTTAAAAACAAGTACTTCAGTACTTTTACTTAAGTAGACATCTGACTGTAGTACTTTTACTTGTACTTGAGTAAAATTTAGCAAGGGGTATCTGCACTTTTACTTAAGTAATAAAGCTGGGTACTCTGTATACCAGGAACATCTATATAAAAATGCAAATAGGGTCATTTTTAATACGTATTTTTGCTTATAACTACAAACTTGATTGGCTCTATTTTAAGTCTTGAAATTCTGAATTGGGGTCTTTTATTTATTTGAGAGTCATCTTGTGCAAACATGGAAGCAGCAAAGACATTGAACGACAAATAGCCTTCAAACGATGTTTGAAGAACCAAATAAGGAGTCTTACAAAAATATACCCTTACCCATGTGGCCTATCCCATGGCCCTTCTCTGCTGAGGCTTTACCCTTAAAGGAATAGTCCTGTGGGGGAGGCGAGAAGTTTTTAGATTGGTTGAGCAGTGTCCTCTCTCCTGGCTGTCCCTCCTCCACCAGCACCTTCTTCTTCAGTGGAGACACTCCAAAAATCTTCCCCACAGGTGAGGTGGGGGACAAGGTCATGCTTCCCAGCCCATGCTTATGGAGGCGTGAACCAGAGTGTAACAGGTTAAGAGGTGATTTGCGGGACAGGGCAGAGGTCTGATAGCCTTGACTGTTCAATGAAATTCCACCATCCTGTCCCGGTTCCTCCTTTATGCCCAAGGTAACAGATGCAGGGGTTGTGCCCTGTCTCCTCATGACCTCCCACAGTGTGTCAATGGGCGAGCCATTTACAGACCACTCTGTGATACCCATATGCCTCAAGTGTGATCGTGCGTGGCTTGAGAGGCCTTTGCGGTTTTCGAAGAATTCACCACAGAATTCACAGCGAATATCCCGGGAAGGTTCCTTCTCCTGAGTCATGACTGTAGGAGGAAAGACCGTAACAGATGATTCAGTCATCCATTAACATCATTAAACATGATTAAAGTAAACAAACAAACAAAGACTACAGGTATGAAAAAAAAAACTTACCCAAGTTGACAGGATAAACATTATCTGAAGCAATTAAACTGGAATGTAATGGCTCTGGACTGTAGCCTTTATTTACTCCCATGTCTGATCCTTTCATAGTAACTTCTACAATTTCAGGCTCTGGTTTTGGCTTTACCAGCTCTACTGTTTGGGGGGAACTGGCAGCAGATGTCGAAGGAGACATTTTGCGATAAGTAGGCTGGTTGTGGCTTGGTGTTTTGGCAAAATGGAAAGGTAGGCGCCCAAGAACATTCCCTGGTGGGGAAGAGGACTGGACCGCAGGCCGAGGCATTCCTGGGCCCGGGGAAGAACAGGGGGATTTGGGGGACTTCAGAGGCATGATGGACGGTAAGCCTCGACGGACTATAATCTCTTTCAGTGTGTCAATAGGTGAGCCGTTCACAGACCATTCTGTGATGCCAAGTTGGCGCAAATGGGAGCGAGCATGACTGGAGAGGCCTTTGCGGTTCTCAAAAAGTTCTCCACAGAATTCGCAGCCCACGTCTTTCATTGGCTCTGATAGAAGTACAGAACAATCCATCAGACTTAAGTTTATGTGAGTAAATTACCAAATGTGATTAGCAAAGAATAAATAAGGACATGCAAAACACGTAAAAGTTGTTACCTATAGGAAAGGACATCACTTCCCCACCACTGAAACGAAGGACCTGCAAAGAGGAGGGTTTCAGCTTCTTTGGAGGTGGGCCCAATAGGGTGTGGGTAGAAGATGAGGTAGCTTTGGAGCCAATGGCTGTCTTCAAAGAAGAAGTCGCCATTTTATATAGGACAGGGCTGGAGGGAATATGTCTCTTTGAGGAAGAAGTGGAAGTGGAGGGTAAGAGGGAAGTCATGCTGATCTTCTTGGACCTCAGGTCCTCAGGACCATCGGAGAGAAAAGAATTTGCTTTGTGCTTAAAGTCATCAGTCAAGATGAAACGGTTGAGTAAGTCAATGGGAGAGCCCTTGGATTCTGAATACTCAATCCCAAAATGGCGCAAATGTGCACGAGCATGACTTGAAAGGCCTTTTCTTGTTTCAAACCATGCACCACACAACTGGCAAATAATATCTTTAGAGTCCATGTCCATCGCTAAAAAAGAAAGTGAGAGGAACAGAAAAGTAGAAGAGATTTTAAGGACATACAGACAATACATTTGCAAGAAGGATCAATTGATGACCCCAACACTATAAAAACAAATCGCAAACAAATGTGTTGAAATTCTTTATTAGTATTTAGTATATTAAATGCTTTCTTACTAAGGTTCAAAGGGGCATCTGTCTCTTGTGGTGCCCAGAATGGTTTGGTTGGACTGGAGAGGTTTGTAGACTGTTTCTTTCCTAAGGTCTTATGTTCCTGGGATCGCAGTGGGGAAGACACAGGTAGTAAGGAAGAGATTGGAGCCTTTCTCAGCACTGGGGAAGGGGATCGAGACTTTACAAATGGAGAGGAAGGCAGAGAGCCAGCTGCAGATGGAGTAGTTGGGGAAGATGAAACTTTAATAGCGGAACCAGCTACAGAAAACGGGACAGGGGGCTTTGTGTCCAGCAGTCCTTCTTCAGTTTCAACATCTTTTGTGGGGCTAGGTATAGGAACAATAGGGATATGGTGCTGGGGCTTCTTAGATGATTCCATAGTAGGGCAGGTGCCAGAGAAGCATGCATCAATTGAACGTTCCTTAGTGATCTTGTGGAGGAGATCAATGGGTGCTCCACTGTTCTCCGACATGCCAACACCCAGCTGTCGTAGGTGAGAGCGGGCATGGCTAGACAAACCACGACGTGTCTCAAATGTAGCACCACAAAACTCACATTTCAACAAGTTGGAGCCTGGAAAAGAGAGAAATGGTGATACAAGGCCTATATTCACTTCATGAATTTTGATAGATGGGATTGCAAACCAATTGGGTAATAATGACTTAAACAACAGGATGCATTTAGACTTGGAATGCATTCCATCTTGTATGCATGTCAAACCACCTCCTGAGGTGATCAGATTGTTACCCTTCTCAATTGAGTCTTGGAGGGCATTAACATTTGGTCTTTTCATGACTTCACAGTTAATCAAAAAGCAGTGTAAAGTCATTTACTGACTCGCCACTGTGGAAATAAAAACTTATCATGTAAAAAGACAGAAAAATAAAGATGGCAGACCAGGCCAATAAGGGCAAATGTATATGACGTTTCATCCCATCAGCTCAAATATCCATGTAGATGCAATTAACACTAGCGACTTGTATGTATTTAAAGAAATATTTAATCCTAAAATAAAAATTCATGTCCACAATAACTCACTATCAAGTCATTCCAAACCTGTATGAATGTATTTTTCTGTGGAACAAAGAGGGTGAATCTTTAAAGAATATATTTGGATTTTTGGGTGAAAAATTAAAATAAAATTCAAATTACCCATAAAATCGGTCTCTTTAGATTCAGGGCTCTGTTCCTCTAGAGTAAACAGGGTCTTTTCTTCTGGACTTGTGGACGAGTTATCCGTATGGGGCATTTGAGCCTCCTCTTCTTCATCTTCCTCCTCCTCCTCATCCTCTGCCTCCTCCCCACCTACATATGCACAGACAAAGACAAATTGTTTAAATGAGCTAAATTATCTAAATCCAAGGATAACCACAAAGGTCTGAAATTAATGTTTTCCTAAAACTAACAGTTACTAGCTTTCCCTTAAACATTTGTACATGATAAATAATACATTTAAATTATTGCTTAATTTACTGGCTATGTGATTTTGAGAGATTTAGTAAAAGACACCTGGTAAATATTTTTTTTTTTCATTATGGGGACAGGAAATCACAAAATATACTGTATAGTTTGTTGTAAATTTCATCAAAAGATGAAATAAATAATTTCAATTAACTAATATAGCCCTTAAAATTCACATCAATTTCATGCTTGAACTTTGAGATTATAGTCCACCACTTCCGTTCGTATTTCATTGTAAACATTACAGTCTTTCATTCTTCTGTGTCTAAACAATTATTTCTAACTCATTTTATTTTTCTCACAAATTAAGCATCATGTTCCACAAAGAAAATGTTAGATGAGCATTTAGTCTGGGCTTTCACAGTAGATTGCAATTTGAGGCAGCATTAAACTGTACTGTTTTTAAAACGGAGAAACTTGGGAGATGAAACCATAAGGTACAGCTAAGCAATAATCTTGACCTGTAAAAGCCACAAGTGTATGCTACTATTCTAGTTTTTAGAAAACTAGATTATAAAACAGGTATCTGACTTAAGAGTTGTTTTATTTTGATTTGAAGTCTAACATTTAGATGAACATAACCAATATTTTATTCACTCTAGAGGTAAATTCAGCAAGCCTACTACATTCGTAGCACACAGTGTTTTTCTTTTGAAGCTCCTGCTGGTCTTGCTCTTCTCAGCATATTCAATATAATAAGCAGTGAACGCGTTCCTGCGGTGGGCGTTTCTGTTCTGTCATTTGATCTGTCCTAGACACAATTCTAGCAACATCAGCCCTTTTTCTCCTCAGCCTGAAAATGAAAATTCATTGTCAATGGGATAACGTTATATTGCCTGAAATAAGCAGACAAATAGACAAAATACATCAAATGCAGTAAGTTAAAGATTAAGGCAACCGTTAAATAACTTATTCAGGACAACACAGAAAACCAGCAGCGATGTCATTATTCCTTTCAAAAACGTTTTTTTTTCTGAAAGTGCGCGGAAAAAGAAATAAGAATAATGAATAAAGTGTTGGCGCGCGCTCCATTTCAACATTAAAAAAGCACCTCAAGTAAAATGGCGAAGACTCAGCCTAATTTCGGAAATCATAAGACAAATACACTGAAAAAATAAGCCGTCATTTTGACAGGACATCTAAAACTGCTTTTATTAAGTACCCGAGCGCATAATGTCTCATACCTTCACTTTTCAGATAGAAAAGTGACAGACAGCAGGGGAATCAGTGGCTTTCGTACGCGCACTCTCTCACTAGACCATTCAGGCATCAGTCATTTCAAATGCACATCGGGTATGACAGGAGCTTGTCTTAAATGTTAACACGATTGCATGCCATGCAAGCTTGGAAAGTGGCTAAGCTCCGAGCATATCTTTCATGCATCCCCATGCACTGCGCAGAAGTGCATGCACTCACCCTTCAGCGGCTGCAGCGCATCGGACTTATTACAGCACCTACAGTCAGACAATTTTTCCGCTATTGTTTGTGTCTGCGGGGAGGTGGAAGCAGCCATTTTGCCCCGCACACATGCACTAACAACGCACCAAGGCGTGACGAACCGAATAAAGGCGGAGACTAGGATAACTATTAAATACCAGACAGCCATCAATTAGCCTGCATTAACTAAGGTTGCATTAAATTAGCAAGTATACTGCACCATACAAACATCTTTAGAACTGCCTTTACAACTGCCCCAGACAACATTACACAAGCTTTACAGGTTCTCTTTAGTTGGCTAGCAATATTTTGGACTTCTGGCCACAAAGCAGGCGAGCAGGCTATTAATGTAAAAGAAAAGTAACTTATGATGAGCAAGTAATGTAAGAACATTAGAATGACACTTTAACCTTTGAAAATTCATCTAAACACCACATTTAAAAAAGTGTGAGACCGGTGATTTTGTATTTTTTTTTGTTTTGAGTCCACAAGCGAACCCTCCTTGTTATACAGCAATGACATACAATGTTTCAAAAAGCATCTTGTGCTAATAATAGTTCTAAGCAAGAACTTTTGACCTTTTTGTACAAATAAGCTAGCATTTGAGTAATTGCAGAAATAATGCAGAATAACAAATATTTATTGTCAAAATATATTTTGTCAAGACTTTTATTTTCTTTCTGAATTCTGCACCATTATTTTCTAAAAGCCATTTTTGCATTGATTTAAAAGAACTTAGTTATAACTATGTAGTGACCATGGGTCAATCTTTGAGAAATCAAGAAGTAAATCCCATTCACTTACCCGCTGGTTCACTGATATTGTGTTTTTCTTTCCAGTGCTGTTTTGGAGAGTGAGAAGAAAGAGTGGCAAGATCTGTAGTCATGTTCTCCTCATCTTTAATATCTTTCCTGCTCTCTTGCTCTTCATCAGAGCTTTCCTCTTGACTTGACTGGAGAGTATGTGTGGGAGGAGTGGATAGAACAAGATCTGGATGCTTGGCAAAAAGCTCTCTGAGAATATTAATGGGAGAAACCGTGACTTCCCAATTGGTGATGCCAAAGTCTCTGAGATGGGCTCGGGCATGACTGGAGAGACCAGCCCTGGTGTCAAAGCCGGCACTGCAGAACTCGCATCTCATAACGCTGAAGGTTGACGGGTCAAAGTTGGCGACTAGAGGTGGCAATGGAAAGTATTACATTAAAAAAAGTTACACACGCCTTTGGTTCTGTATACATTTTCATGAGACCTCAAGTTCATAGACATTAACAATAGTAGGCAAAATACATCTGCATTAACATTTAGAAGTATCCTCACCTTTTTTCTTCTTTTTCTGGTAGGAGAATTTCTTCTCAATGGCATTAACCTCCTCTGGGGAGATGAAGTGCCTAACGTTGTAACTGACACCCACTCTGTTCAGATGACCCCTAATGTGATTGGCTAGTCCGATGCCATTATGAAATCGATCTGGGCAATAAGGGCATTTTCTTTCCACACTCTTGAACAACCCCTCTCTATCATCATCTTCATCATCTTCCTCAGTTAATGCACCAATAAGACGATTTACAACATCTTCATCATCTTCATCCTCATCATCATCATCATCATCATCACCATCCTCTAGTTTAGCAGCAACAAGTGTGTCTTCTCTGTTCCTCCCCTGACTATCAGATTTGTCTTTTTTGAGTTTGGGTTCCTCCTCCTGTACTTCAAGCTTTTTGCTGCTCTTCTTTGGTAAAGAGGAGCAGGCTTTGAGATCCAAAGCACTGGCAGGTGGCTCACTCCCTGAGGTTAAAGTGGAGCGTTTAAGAGTGTTTAGCAGTTTTGAAGAAAAAAAAATACAAAGATGATTATTGAGCAATCAATTATTATCACGCAACAAAAAAAAAAACGTTTGTGGGATGCAATGAAAATGACGGCAAGCTGAGTTAAATATAAAAGTTGATCTATATGGAAATTCTGTTTTCTTTTACACAAAAAGAAACACTGAAACAGGTCGGAAACACAAATTTCTTATGAAACATGAAACTTCTTATGAAACAAGATATTTTGCAGAATGTTCATGCCTCTCTTTTCTATACAACTATAGCAAAGCATATTGGGATCAGGGGCTCCAAAAAAGGAAAAAGTATTGTGACTGTCCATGTAAATTTCTCCTTGTTCAGCAGAGGAAAGAAAGTCATATGGGTTTGGAATAACAATATGGAAAGTAAATGATGACTATTCTCTTTTTTGGCCTGACTACTCTGCAACCATTTAGAATCTGTTGCTCTACTCATCTTTCACCCATCACCCTGCTGAATGAGAGGGGAGGTCATAGCTGAGAGACTCTATGAGGACGTGGGATAACTTGTTTCTTAGCTGGGCGTGCTGCCCCTCAAGCAACCCCAGCCTCTCTGCAGCTCCTCAAACGCTGGCTGAGTAGCTACTCTTCAGGTGCAAGGCCAGGGTGAAAACTGGGATTTCCTCAAGTTTATGGCCAAGCACAACGCATGTGAACTGTGTGCTTTTAGAATTTCAAGACTTGGTATTTGCCTCCCATCAAAATATTGGTCCTTACTGACTAAGGTCGCTGACTGGATTAACTGTTTCTCTCCTACAGTAAAAATTTAAGGGAGAAAGTCACTATACCACCAACAGTGGTCGGCCAATGTACTTTCTCTCGCCAGCAGGGACTTGCTGGGCGGGGGGGGGGGGGGGGGACTTCATTTAGACCCTGGTTCCTGCGGTGTAAACACACCGAGTACCACCCCAAAGTTCCTAGTTCATGGGGAAAGTTCCTGCGGTGGAAACGCGGCTTATTTTAACCAGTGGCAGTGGCTGTTCCATTACACAAATTTGGTTCAACTGACTCAGGCACAATGAATCTAGGCATCACAATAGCACAACAATACATACAGTACACATACACATAAGCATGCATCACTACAAGACCAAAGACAGAAGTCCAAGTAATGCATTTATTCCGAATATAAAATTAGAGTTGTGACTATGTAACCTCTCACACCCGGGTCCAACTTGACCCGCTCCGAGCAGGCCTTGAACCCGGGTCTCCGACATGAGAGTCAGGCGCGCTAACAAGGAGGCTAAAAACTGCAGCCTCTAGCGTCTGTCGCTAGAGCGCCTATTGAGATCGGGGGGTTTGATTTACTCGCACAGCAACTACTAGCTGGCCTCCGTTACACTCAACCCCCTAAACCTCACTCTCATCCGGGTCACGGCACCAATGTAACCTCTCACACCCGGGTCCAACTCGACCCGCTCCGAGCGGGCCTCGAACCCGGTCTCTGGCATGAGAGTCAGGCGCGCTAACAAGGAGGCTAAAGACTGCAGCCTTTAGGGTCGCTAGAGCACCTATTAAAGGGCACCTATTATGCCCCTTTTTACAAGATGTAATATTGGTCTCGGTTGTCCCCAGAATGTACAGTATTTGTGAAGTTTCAGCTCAAAATACCCCACAGTTAATTTATTATAACCATTTGAAAATGTCATTTTGGGGCCTGTTTGAAAATGAGCTGTTTCAGGGGGTATGCCACTTTAATGCAAATGAGCTGCATATCCCCGCCCTGCCTTTGGATGAGGGCGTAACTTGATACCTATGGCTGGCAGTCGGTCTAAGCAGAAGGGGAAAGTGAGAGACGCGCTGTTTTGTCTGTCATTCAGCGTACGTTTGAATCGGAATATATAAATAGCACAAAGAGACTCCGGCAGAATAAACACAAATGAGAATGGACCAGTACGTCTCGGTATGGTTATTTGATACATTTATGTAATTTAGCGTTGTAATCGCGTCCTCTTTGCAAGTATGGTGGAGCAACACACACACACAGACACACAAACACTAACGCTGGTGCATTTTTTTTAAACTAATGTAACATACACATTCTGTGATAAAGTTTGCAACGTAACTTACAAGCGAAATTACATTTATGCGAGGGACCTGTGGTGTCATGTTTACTTGTCATACAGGTGCTTCTGTGGCAAATGTGAGAAGATGGCTAACTTACAGAACAAGAACATATATGCGGTTTTTAATACAATATCTTTGAAAATATATATATTTATAAACGTGTGGTTGCACACTATACAAACAAGGTTTAAATTATATACACAGACATCCTACGACGACAACAACTTTAGACGCATTTGTTGTTGAATTGGCTGACATCGACTGAAAAGACTATTTGCTCAAAAATCATAAAATACACTTACTGTTACTGGGGTGACGGTGGATCGCAAACAGTAGATGACGATCCACACTTGAGGATTAACTTTTAAGCTACAACAACAGGATTAACCCACGAGTCCACGACAGAACACTTAAGTTATGTTTCCAAAAGACATTACCGGCTGTCGTGTACAGATCACCGAGGGCGGGGTCTAGGCTACAGCCACACTGTCAATCAACCCCCTGTCTCCCGTTCTACGTCACAAAGAGCTGAATCTCAGAACAGCTCGTTCTGAGACAGTGCACATGATTTATTGAGATTGTAAAAAAACCACTGGGTGGATTTTTATCATTCTAGGGTGGTTTTGCTCACACACTGCCAACACACATTTATGTTCAAACACCATGTAAAAGTGAATTTTCCATAATAGGTGCCCTTTAAGATCGGGGAGTGAGGTTTACTCGCACAGCAACTACTAGCTGGACTCCGTTACAACTGCAAATTCTAATTGTTCTGCTGTAGTGATTATTATTTGATGTGACAATGTTATAAGTGGATGGCGAGAAATTTATGGAAAATAAAAACATAACCTTTTTGAAAATGCATTAATAACTTAATGATAAATATACCATTAGTTTATATTTTGCATCCTCTCTTGTTCCCTACGTAAGTGTTGCATTGACAAGTATAGTTTCCTTTACACAAATACTGTTGACAATACTAAGTGTTAGCATTTACTGACTACATTTACATTTATGCATTTGGCAAACACCTTATCCAAAGCAACTTGTATGTAGATTATTCAAGTTTTGCCTAAGTGCATGTGTCTGTTTCCTAGGAACTGAGGCCAAGCCATTGCTATGGCCTTGCCAGTTTAGTTACACAGCTAAGCATTGACTGGTCTTGGTGTTATATCTTGTTATTGACTTACCTGTTTTGGAATCTTGTTTTGAATCATGTTCTGGTGTTGGAATGTCTTCTTTCTGGCCCTTATCTGCAGTCTGGTTGGAGATTCGGACTTGCTTTGTTACATCGGTAGTCAGGGTTGCCTTACGATCAAGTCTTGTACTTGCTCTTGTGCGCCCCAGTTTTTTCTTAGCAGCCCGGACTGAGCGCTTTTTTCCTATGCTCTTGAATGCCACATCCTTACGCCGCGGAACAGCCCTTGGATTTGGAGGAGGAGACATTAGGTGCTGAGGTTGTAGGACATTCTCTTCCATAGAGAGAGATGTCTCTCCTATTTGTCTCGACTCCTCCGCATGGATTGTATTTGCAAGCAGGGATGCTTTATCAGGTTGGTCTGTGGCTTCTCCCGTGGTTGCAGAAGCACTTTGACAAGACAATAAGTCCACCTGTGAAGGGGCAATGTTGGGCTGTGTTTCTTTAGGTTTCTTGGATGCTCGGATGGGGTACCTCTTGTTAAGAGGTGAAGTGATAAAAGTTGGTGTAACATCTGCAGAGGACTGGACCTGTCCTTTCTTGCAGGATTTCTGCTGGAAGCGGGGTGAAGTTCGATAAACCCCAGCCCTTTTTCGAGTGGTGTGCGTCTTGGAGTGCTCGGAAAGCTCTCGAGGCACATCACAGCTAAAGTTGCACTCAGGACACACGAACTGGCCACAGTTGACCTTTGTTAACTCTTGGATGACTGGCTCCGATGCATTGCTGCAACTGGCTTGCACTGCCACCCGCTTTTCCCCCTCATTTAATTTTCCAATCTCTTCAAGGATTTTCTGCCGTGACTCCTCATGGCATCGGTGATGATCTAGCAGCAGTACCTTGTCTACAAACTCCTGACCACACTCTATACATTCAAAAGGATTTTTATTAAGATGTGCGTTCCAAGCTTCTTTCTCTCCACATTCCCATTTCTTCCCAGGTGTACCGACCTGGCCATGCTCAAGCATGTGTTCACGTAGATGGGCACGTTTTTTGAAGTAAATGCTACATTCTACACACGTGAAAATCTCTTGGGAGAGGTCTTCGTCCAGTTGGGGGTCTACTACTGAGTTCTGCCTACCCCGTACCTTCTCTGTTTTTTCCTCGAACATCCCTCCCCCATCCTTTGCGGTTTTCCTACGCTGCTTTGCTCCAGAGGGTTTTCCCCTGGTCCTTCTGCCGGCTCCCGTTGTACGCTGCCAGGTGCCTAAACCAGAGAAAGGCCTCAGTATGACCCTCTTTTTCCTTCTGCGCTGGATGAAAGTGCAGTGTGCCCAAGGTCCAGGTGGTGGACTCTCTGGCTCAGAGTCTGCTGGGAAGGTGTATACATCAGCCTCTTTGGGGATCTTCTCTTCCTGCCCTCTACAAATAAGGACTTTCTTCTTAACTTTCTCTTCTTTTTGGCATGCCTCTTTTGGTGTAGTACCAGGTACATGGCTCACTTTGTCTTTTCCCACTGCAAGCAAATAGGGAAAGGTTTTATTGACTTGAGTATTTTTTTTATTTCACATGGTGGTATTGACATGAATTCAAACATGTTTGAGGTACAGTACTTTTCGTTTTTTTACGTTTTGCTGCACGCTTCGGTAGGCTGGAGTCTTTTGTTGGCTCCCTGTATGTAACATCTCCTTGATTCTCCACCACCAAGGGGGCAAGTGGGTTTTTATCAAGAAATAAGTGCTTGGTTTCCACAGGTTCTTGGCACAGATCAATGTCAAAGCTGCAAGTATAAGGATTAAGACTGATGAATAGGTTTCAGCTCTATATTGATCTCAATCAATCCCCTCAATATTTAAAATTCGCATATATGCACCTTTCTATAAACAGGGGTACACATAACTGGTGCGCAGGTGACCATGCGTGGAAAAAATAAACAATTTGCAGCAGAAAACGTGGAGGGAAGCGCCAACATTTTTGGGTACAGAGACACGCTTACTTACTGGAGTAGGACTTTTGTCCATCTTTGGTAGATAGCATATGATGATGTGTGTTCATTAATTATTAGTCATCAATAAGTGTGCAACCCATGTGATTCGCAGATTAACTGCTAAGTTTAACCATCATAGAGTGAAAGTTTATAATTTGGACATGTTTTGTCATACCAATTTACACCTTCAAACGATTTTAAAAGTGAAAGAAGAGGATAAAATTGTGTTCACCTGCTCAAAACTTATCTGTGCGCAAAGCCGCACGGAGAGAAAGAGGCACGTTTCAGTCAGCACTCGAACACCGAATTGATTCCTCTTTCGGGTTTACTTGCGCTTGAGTGGACATATACACCCAAAATTATGTCAAAAATACATGTCTCGGCAAGTTTTCTCTTATGTCATAAGTGAACAGTTGAGAAAGAAATCAGATGTATGTCAGTATATTCGATCTGTGCATTGTGTCATTAATTTCAATATAAAATAAAAAATACAGCTTGAACCTATATTTAATTTCAACAGTGGGTTAGAGAGCAGTCAGGAAGAAAGCTTTTTGAATAAGTTTGCCGAATAAAGTGTGAGTACCAAGCAGAATATCCAGGTGCTCCCTTGAGAACCAGACCAAAAAATGTTATGTGCACCCCTGTCAATAAACCCGTCTTTCCATATAATCATCTGCATCTCACCTGTCTTGTTGTAGTACAGAGGTGGGACTCCCTGGGCTGTGAGCAGCCAGACCATGAGGGTTAGAAAAGTGCTGAAGTTCTTCTTCTGACATAAACCATTCGAATCCACACAGGAACACAAACAATATACACATGACTTAACAGAAAGCAGTAGACTCACAGCTATAAATACAGAATGTAGACAAACAAAACCATTAACACTTTTCACAGAGAGACGAGTTTTACAGTACAAACACAGAATAGTTCAGCCTGAATGTAGCTGAATGATTGCAAAATCTCATTTCAAGACGTTTCTTATGATTTGGATAGACGCCCATGTATTTTTCACTGACATGAAAATAAGAATGAACCAGAGAGTCAATTACCATCCAAGGTTTCTTTCTCCGAGTCCGAGTCCCATGTGAGAGATGAGGGAAAGCCTGAAGAACGTGGACTTTTCTGTACTTTACCACAATGTTCCAGTGTGGGGAAAAAGCAGTTTGGACCTTCCGATTCTCCATTTCCATCCCCCTTCTCCACGTCATCACAATGCAATAACCCCCCCTGTGAGTTCAGAGGGTTGAAACAAGTCCAACATTACATAGTTCTGTTCAGGAGAGAAATAAAATGTTGCAAGATTCTCACACACTTGCACGCTAATTGTTAAAAGATAAGATTCAGAAATGTATACAATAACAGTGCAATGACTAATTATGATTAAAAGGCATTTAACTGTATTAAAACAATGACTCGCATGTAATGATTTACATTCATATTGTAAGAGTTAGTTGTTTTTTTTCCATTGGAGAGGGAAAAAAAAAAAACGTTAAAAAGATCCATTGTCTAGGTCCTTGGCTATACCAGGAAGGTGCAGTTGAGTAAGGATGTTGATGTTGAAGGCAGTAGCCCTTGGTTGGACATCAGATCTTGGGAGTCCCTGGTCGAGAGATCCTCCTCAGGCTCCATGATCCTCTGGCGCACAGGCTTGTGTGCAGATACAATCCACCTGTCCTGCCCTACATTATGAAGAGCAATTCCATTTCTGGACAAACACAAACACAACTAAGATGCAATCTAATGACCGCCTGAGAGCAATAGAAATGGACTAGTATTCTATTTTAAGGGCTATTTAAAGAAAATATACAAATAAGCATCTGCAAGATGTTTGCAAATTCAAGAGGTTAATACGGGGATGAATTATATACTGATCTGTGCTATTCAGTCTCTGAAAGAATGCATTTGAATAGCCTAACTAAATCTCTGTGTTGAATTAATGAGGAGTATCACTCTGTCTGACCTATTTTATCATGCCTCATTCCCTACGTTGATAATATCAGAGGAGGCCGTTTTTTACTGGAGAAAAAAATAGGCTAGTACCGGCTCCCGAAAATATGGTGCTCGTCTATGTAGTTCACATGCGTTTATAACTTGCGCTATTAATACTGGACCATCTGCAAACGCGGTCCTTCCCCAGCAACACAATCTGAGACTGTTAAACATTTCCTAGGATGTGTGCGGTTAGGATGAAATTGTGCAACACTCACGGAAAGCGGCCTGTCTTTGGAATTCTCTGCTTCCAATCACATCGCTTTCTCCATGTCCTATTTGGATTCAAGTGGCACGAACGCACGGACGCTTATAGAGCATGTGTGCGTTGCGCTGTAACTTATGTCGCAGCCTTCCCTCAGGATCACCGGGAAAGCATTAGGGTTTAGCAAACGGTGAAGACCGCCGTTGCACTCTAAACACCGGACTCCATGTTGTTAGTTTTCGGAGGGATGGTGACGTTGGTGGGGAGGGGAAAGGAGTTTATGTATCGACCACGGTGTAACTCTTTCACAGCAGGTTGAGAGATAAATTAGACTTGGTCAGTGCGGTATAGCTGACTAATTTCAGCACATTTATTAGTGCTTGAATGACATTGCAAACGTCACTCATTTTAAGTGCAAAAGAATGTAAAATGCTACAGTTAAAAACTGTAAAATAATCGAGTCAGCTAAAAACACACGTAAAATATATTGCAACGTTTTTTTAAAGACATTTATTCATATAATGTAAAAATACTATATATATAAAATGTATTAAGTAATTAGATAAAAATATATGTTATAATAATATAATATATCTGTCTATATCCATCTGCCATTTTGTCTATCTTTCTGTCTATCAATCTATCTATCTCAGTCATATATTGTACAATGTCCATACCTTACAAATACATTAGTGTAACTACTACAGCTATGAAATACCTAAAATATTTCAATAGTGTTCAAGGGGTGTTGATTTAAAATGCCTTGTTTTAATTATAACCACAGCACATTTTATTAGGAGCAATGTAAAAAAAAAAAGTGTGGTTGAGACCAAAAGTATTTTTTTAAGCAATTGCATTTATTATGAGGGATGCATGTAATAGCCTATATCATGCACTGTGTTCCAGAGACACAATTAGATGCCCACTGTTGATGCCACAGTCATCAAGGCAGATAGCTCTGTAGGACAAAAACAGACAGACACACGGTTAAGGTATGAACTGTTGGGAGGGACAGCAAAACAATTTTGAGCAGTCAGAAGATCAGAACCACAGTTCAATAAAATCCCATAACATTTTTGTTCATCTTTTTACCTCGTAATGCTCCCATGTTTGGATTTCGCGGTAGAAAGCATTTCCTGGGCATTCTGTGGAAGCGGCTTGCCTGTGTCCATACAAGGAGTAATATGAAGACAGTCGACCTCCGTTCACAGCACAGCTTGTGAAGTCGTACCGCACCATGTTCCTGGCACTGGTGGAGGGGATGGTGGAGGTGTAATCTCCAATGAAGCAGACACCATAGCCATCGGAGTTGTACCCGTAAGTGTGGGCTCCCACCCAATTCCAGCCACGGCCTTCGTACAAGTTTCCATCAGAGCCTGCCACAAAACTTCAGGGGGAAGAACAAGAAATTAAATTGCAATCAATCAGTCAGTTCAGCGCAAGAAAAGCAGTTCAGAGGGCTTTATGATATCTAAAATTATTTAAAAAAAAAAAACCCATTAGGACTTTCCTAACCTGTATCCAATGTCAGACCATCCATTGGTTTGCTGGTGGTAGCGCTGCATGGACCGCATCTCACTGGCACATTGCTCAAAGGTGGTGCAAGGCTGGGAGGGTTGATATGTGTGGTGGATGAAAAGGTACGGCACAGGGAGAGACAGATAGGAGGGAGAGCCGATGTAAGATGCAGCCCCCCATTGAGACCTCGTAATGATGTTGGGACAAACTTGGCAGGGGAAAAAAAGCAATATGAGAACAAAAAAATTGCGATTGACAGATTGCAAATTTGTCACAAATAAAGTGGTTTACTTGGTAGTGCATTAGTGATATTATTAAAAAATATTCCTAATTTAACAATAAAATAATTTAATATATATTTTCATATACATACAGTATATATATATATATATATATATATATATATATATGAAGAGTTCAGATGCAAAAGCCTCTAAATGCCATTTTAAATTTTCTTCTTTAATGATGATTTTTGACAAACTTGTATATTTAAGTTCAGTAATTTCACTTAAATAACAATTAATAGGTAATTATCATTGCCATTTAAGTGAAATCACTGAACTTAAATATACAAGCTTGATAAAAAAAATGATCATTCTAGAAGAAAATTTCAAATGGCACTTAGAGGCTTTTGCATCTGAACTCTTCATATATATACGTATATATATATATATATATATATATATCTGTTTACATAATATATGTGTGTACAGCAGTGTATAATTATTTTCTATTTAAATACACACTCATCCATGTAAAATATATATAAATATTTATATATAATATCAATTATATATAAATATATACACAGTATATACATGCATGTGTGTGTATTTGTATACAAAATAATTATACACCATACACACACATATATTATGTAAACTCAAAATTATATTTTGGATGCGATTAATCGCGATTAATCGTTTGACAGCCCTATATATATATATATATATATATATATATGTATGAAATATATTATATAATAGTAAAACACATAAAGGAAATGCATTTAAATAAATACATATTTAAAAAATATATATAGTAAAAAAGTTAAAACTCTAAAATAGAGTAATTTTAACATTTAACTAAATGAACTAAATCAAAAAAGTAAAAATTTATTCATATAAATATATATTTTACATATACATGTGTATTACTAATCAGTATAAAATGGTTAACATCAGTAATAAATAAATAAATGCATAGCTTTAATTACCCGCATACACATGGACAAAAAGCTCAAACCCCTCGTTCACGACATCATCCAGCCTCTTCCTCTCAGACTCGTTTATGTTACGACGAACTGTTACAGCCTGAACCACTTGGCTTTTCAGCAAAGAGAAGCTGACGATCTTTTTAAAGTTCATCCTTCGATTTTGACTAATCAGACGGGGCGCTGCGTCCAACCCTGCGGCGTTAAGCTGGTGGCTGTAGTAACTCTTCAGCAAGTCACTTAGTGAAAGCTCACGAAGGTCGGACGTGGAAACTTCCGACCCGAGGATGAACCCGTCCATTCCTCCGGTTATTAGGGCGTCTGTTGCCAAGGAGCGCAAACCAGAGAGAGTGTACACCTTTGGGGATTTAATGCTATCCCAAAAACCTTTAGTGCCCAGAGGAGCGCTGGACTGCTTATTGTGGGCATGATGGACCAAAGAGGCAACCAGGTTCTCGGTCAAGGTCAAAGGGTACAGGCCTTGGACGGTCGACTGCAGCCCAGCCTCAAGTCCAAGGAGCATTGGGGCCAACGCCACATTTGAGCCATCTACAGTCAGAACTACACCTTCCTCCTCACCCACCTGTGAGATGCTGTGATTAATGACCTTGCTTAAGAACGAAATGACGTCTGGCTCTGTCGCTAGGTCGGGTGCATCACTGAGGACGCCCAGGTGACGCTTGATGAGGTCGGTTTCAAAGCCAGCAGCTTTACGCAAACCTTTGACCACGTCGAGCATCTGAAGTCCTGGATTCTCTGCTTCAATTCTCTCCACCGCACTGATGAAGTCATCCATGCGCCTTGTGGTGGTCGCTAATGAAACAAATAAAGAAAACATGAACATTTTAAATAGTAATAATGCAACCACAGCTATTAAAAGAGTCAAATAACAAGGAATCAAACATCTAGAAGTTTTAGACCCAAAAACTTCTCCACAATCCAAAAAATAGCCGAACCCAAGCAGTAAAACACTTTTTGTTAACATGTTAACTTACCATACAGCTTTAGCAGATGTAGAAAATAACATCCTAGTCACATAAGTTACTTTTATATAGTTACCTATTATATAAAAAAACTCTTTAATATTTTGATTTGGTTCGTTATGAAACAACGTCTTCTTTTTGGAGTGACAAGAATGGTAATAAATGTAATTTTTTGAGTGAAAAGTCATCAAAAAAGTTTGTATTATTTCTAAAGCCTGTACACACAGATAATTGAATAGTAACTAGAAGATTGAACACGACTTACCTTCATTGAAGCCACTGGCAAACACCACAAGCAAAGAAACAAGCAACGGCAAGTGCCAAGCCATGAGGACAGAAGTTACGAGCACTGATTCTCCGTTCACAAGAATGGATGTGTGTTTCCCTGCACCTCAATCGCATTATAAATACCTTCTAACACTTATGTAAGCAAATACTGATTAACTGTGTTCCATAAACGGCAATAAAGGTTTGAGAAAGTGACAGCTGCTTTCAGTGTGCCCCAAATAAACTCGCCAAAACACATGACAAAAAGAAAGACATGTCAAGAATCACTCTTAAAAATTAAGATTCGAAAAGGATTCAAAAGTTTACAAAAGAACCATATCGGGTTCCAGAAAGAACATTGTGAAACTTTAAGAGTTTATAAAGACCAAGTAAAGAAAATGTAATGAATAAATTGAAGGGAACACAAAACGTCAATATGTTCTCTAAATGTAAATGTGTGTGTTGTTTTAGCAACACTTCAGAGTTTGACAATACAACTTACAACAGATATACATTACTTTTTTATTTATACTATTTTACTAAAATAGTAGCTTGAACTCTGTTCCCAAACACTAAACAAGGAAATAACTTTTACTGAACCTTCTGATCACACTGCAAAGTGTTTTTCTTCCTCAGTATTTTTGTCTTATTTCCAGTAAACGTCTAAATATTCTGTTATCAAGACTAATTTCCTGGAATTACATAAAAATTGAGCGAGTTTGTGATTAAAACAAGAAAAAATATCTGCCAATGGACTCAGAAAATTCAACTTAATTCAAAAGGAACTCACCGAAAGATATTTATTCTTGTTTTAAGCATGAATAAATATTTCAAGACTTAATTTTACATTTGCATCTCAAGTAAATTACTCTTCACTCTCAGAAAAAAAAGGTACAAAAGCTGTCACTGGGGCTGTACCTTTTCAAAAGGTAAACTTTTGTCCATTTCATGAGCTAATAAGTACATTTTAGGTGTTAATATGTACATTTTGGATGCTAATATGTACATTTTTTAGTGTTAATATGTACATTTTAAGTGTTAATATGTACATTTTAGGTGCTAATATGTACATTTCAGGACCTAATATGTCAATTTCATGAGCTAATATGTCCATTTTAGGTGGTAATATGTCCATTTTAGGTACTAATATGTAGATTTTAAGTGTTAATATGTACATTTTAGGTGCTAATATGTCAATTTCACGAGCTAATATGTCCTTTTTAGGTGGTTATATGTCCCACTAATATGTACC